ATGGCCAACTGTTAATTTGATTTTATTGAACGTATCAGACTTAAAGGAGTAAATAGTTGTCATTAGCATAGATACCTACGATGGAAGTGATGACATCTAGAAAATTTAGTGAAGAAAATAAGTGAAAACATAGAACCCTAACCCTGTTTCAATATTGCAATGGGCTTACTAAATAGCTACAATAAAGAGAAAAATGCGACCTATGTTGGATATTCTATATTTTAAGTCATAATATAAGTTATTACATTAATACATATTGATGGAGTTGTTATTACCAGATGCAACATTAGATTTAGCTCAAAATAGACATTAAATGCCGGAGTTTTAATGCAAAAAGTTCTAGAGGAGGGGTCATTCAGGGCAATTTTCCTTATTAGGTTTGATAAAGATTGAATCAAATCGGAGAAACACCATAACTTGTGAAAAGACCCGCATGTTAAACGCTGTTAACCACCTTCGACATATCCAATGCAACAACCCAAGCTTCACAATTCTTACCTAAAGTTGGTATACTCTTTCAGTACTAACCATCAATACATCAGCAGTTGACCTAGAGAAAGAAAAGTCATATTGTTTGTCTGAGTTGATTAGAAACTGTAGCATTTGCCAAAAAGAAGCAGAAGATTAATAAGAAGATACTTTAAAGGATCAAACAGTTCGCCAGCTTTTTTAAAAACAAGAAGAGCAAAAAGCATCTCTTGTAAAAGTTTGGAGAGAACAGGGTCGTATTTCTTAAAGTCATTTGCAGGAATACCATCGAGTCCACATATTTGTGTGGATCTAGTTTAAGATGATAGAGGAAATCATTTGTAAGTCGAACGTGAGGCAACGTCCTTCAGATGAGTCGAAATTAGAATTAGAAGAGAATTTGCAAGCAACGTATTCTGCATTATCGGTAGAAAATGATATCACTTGATTGAAAAAAGGAAGGATTTAGCCTTATTTGCCTTTAGCTAATATATTAAATTTTATATCTCCAATAAGCAGAATATTTTATTGCAATTTCAATGTAAATTGATTGGAATATTTTTTTTGTAATCGATTTTTGTATTTTTTATTTTATGACTGAGAGCAGATTTTCTGTAACTGGAAGTTGATTTAAATTATCTTGTTCTTATGACTAATATATACATTATATGATACAAAACAATTTCAGGAAATTTCATAAAATTAAATGCGTGGGTGTAATCTATCTATCTATCTATCTATCTATCTATATATATATATATATATATATATATATATATATATATAGATAGATAGATAGATAGATATGTATAGATACATAGAGATGTATATATATAGAGAGAGATGTATATATAACTCTATCTATAAAAGGCAGGATGTGTGTGTGTGTAACGAATGCACGGCGACAATTTTCGACGGATTTGCACCAAAATTTACATGCACAAGCTCCAAGTTAGTGGAAAGGCCAAGACTGACTTTGCATTTCCCAATTCCCATCGATAGTGGAAATAATCGATTTTTTCATACATCTACGGCACTTTTCATGTAGTTTGCGGCCATTTCTACTGGCCAGAATTAGAGCCTATAGCTGGATGCCACGAATAGGCAGGAAGACTCTATTGGCCAGCGTCAAAGCCAACAGCTGACTGGCACGAATGTTAACTAGCATGCTAGTAGGCAAAAAAAAAAAAAAAAAATCGATAGCTGCATTCGTCACCAGTGGGAAAAATTTAAAAAAGTAAAGAAGGCCTGTAGCAACATCAGCACGGCAAAGGGCACTCCTTTAAAGGCAAGGAAGGGCAAAAATATTTTAAGTCAAGTGATAGTGATTGCTGTATGAGTCGTAGGATTTTTGAATTTTGATTTGTTTTTTGTATGAATAATTCATGAATATGTAAATTAATTGCACCTTTATTGAAATTAAAATAACTGATCCAAATGCAACTTTTGGATAAGTGCGACATTACTGTAATTATTGAACAATAAAGTAATTCGTTGTCCTCTTATTACTGAGAGAAAAAAACAAGAACAAAATCTATTCCATACCTGAGGATGTCTGTAGGAACAGACGAATGCTTGTAAAAATAATAAGAACTCATGCAACAGAAATTTATAGAAACAAGGATCTTTTCATTCATAAACAGGTTCGGGGTTTTTATATATTATTTGAATTGTTCGCGACGATGGATTTCTCGCCAATTAAATCATTAACCTTTGTATTTGTTTTTTGTATGAATAATTCATGAATTTGTAAATTAATTGCACATTTTATTGAAATTAAAATAACTGATCCAAATGCAACATTGGATAATAAGTGCGACATTACTGTAATTATTGAACAATAAAGTTCATGCCACTTTGACAGAAAATTTACCAGTAAAAAAGAATTCACTTATCACCATATTTGTATAAGAACACACAATTGTAAAATTTAAATTCAAACTCAGCGTTGCGACAGCACGCTCCAAAAGCTATAACTCATTTCTAATAGCATTTTTCGGAATACAACAATACATATATTTTCGTTGTCCTC